TAAGTTATGTGCTTAGGCTAAGATTTTCTAAAGTTTAACCTGGATTACATTAAAAATAAAGTTCTTGATGGCTTTTCTGAGGACTGAGAGATCATTTTTTCTTATCCAGTCTCTTTAGAAGCTTTCAGTCATATATTACATCAAATAACTAACAACATCAACATTTTCAATTAATGAGATAATCACTGTTACCTGTTAATTTTCTACCTGTGAGTATATTCCTTTTAGAATTCTAGATTATCATTGTTCTATCTTCTCTTTAGAAGAAGAAAAAAATACATGTTGTTTTATGTGATGAAGATTCTAGAATGTTGGGGTTTTTTTCTGCAATAGCTCATGTACTAGTTAATCCTCTAAACAGAGAATAGTTTTATTCTTAAATGAAAATGTTTCTTCTTCAAGTCTGTGACAGATGCTAAGTGACAGTCTTCATACAGCCTGGAGGAAGTATGAAACATACTTTTAATTTCAAGTTTTGATGTATTTTCTAGTATTTTTGAAATAAATATTTAAGCTTGGTTAGTGCCAGATCAAACCCGCAGTGCAGCAACAGAACAAGCCTTCCTATGATGCCTCATGAACTAGAATGAACCTGAGGAATGCATCTATAAAAGCATACATTTGTTCAGTATTCCCAGTAACCTGAGAGTGTGGGGAAGACTACCTGCCACCTTCAGCAATTAATGCCACTTGCTTTTTTGAGGTTTCTCTGAGTTTCTGAGGTATGTACAACATTGTGGGTGGTCATCAGAATAAGCAGTTTCTTTGCTGTAGTTTTCACTGGCTGTAGTTACCTTTTTTATCTGTTTTGCTTTCATACTGCCTCCCTGCTCTGTTCCTTTGTGTAAGTGTGTAACTGCTACTTCTGCTGTAACTAAACTGTCATCAAAAATTAATCACCTAACGTTAATCTTTTGGATCCTTGAAAACCAATATGTCATCACTTCTTTTTTTAATATATGATTATCATTTTTTTTCAGCTTGAGACCTCTTATTTGAAATTCTCTCAAACTTTCAATATTTGGAAAAATTTATTAGAGATGAGGAGATACTACAAAGTTAACTGATGGTGTGTGTGCAAGGCTCTCCAGCATTTCTTCAGACTCACTTTGTTAGCTGTTCAGATCTCCCAACAGATTGTGGGCACTTAGTACCTCTGAAGCTACTAATTTACTATGAAACTTATTAAAAAGCTTAGTATTTTAATTAAATTATCAGTAATTCTGGAGAAAATGTGGTTTTATTTTTCAAACCTGCTAATCCATGCTCAGATGAGGTGTAAATGTCACTGAACCATATGAGCTCATGTGTGTTACTTGAATAAGTGTTTGCCACAAGAACGTTGTGTAAAAAAACGAAGGGCGGAGAAAAAAATACTGAATCTTTTTAAGGTAATGCATAATAATAATAATAATAATAATAATAATAATAAAAATCATCATTATAGCAGTTGTAACCAGATCAGGCTTCTGATCCAGTTGTCCAGTTCATCTCATAAGCAGCAGAGAGCTTGGAAGACCAGTACTGTGGGAGTCAGCCCTCGACCCCATACAGTACCATGAGGAGAGAACCAGAAGCCTGTGCTAAAAGGCCTCCTTTGGGGCATGCAATTGTTTGCTTCAATGTGGATTTACAAGGCAAAAGCCAACGGCCTTTGTCTGTAGGGCTGCATTACATAGGTCAGCAAAACCCCTACTCTGCATGCTGAAAATGCATAAACAAATGATTAGGGTGATCCAGTGAAGGTGTGATCACTTGTTTTTCTGTGGTACCCTCACCACATGCCAGAGCCCTGGGAATTTCTTGTGGCTGTGCAGTGCATCACTCTGCTCTTGGGAAGGGTAGAAGGCCACCATCTGCTGTCTCTGAACTGCCTGGTGACAACCTGAAACCGGACAGGTTCTTTGCTACGCTACTGCTCTGTACTCCGTTTGCAGTTTGCGCATCAAGGGAGGACTTTTCTTGCACCAGACCGCGCACTGTGGGTGCATCCAGATGAGGCTTTCCTTAAACCAGACTGGGCTCAGCGGGAGCATCCAGGGGAAGCCGTCTTTGAACCAGGCCGGGCGCGGCGTTGTGCGGCAAGGAAGCCGCTAGAGAGCAGCGTCAGAGTGCGCTGGCCATGCCCGCCAACGCGCGGGTCGCGCAAACTGCGCTCCTGCCAGTGCGACAGGCGCTCGGACTCCGTGTCGTTTAAAGTAATTTTGGAGCTGTCGCTCTAGGATGAGAATAGCATGGGTAATCTTGAATCCCTGTAGACGCGAGGAACCTGGAGCGGTGCGGCATTGAGCAGGATGCCAATCCATGCACGGGATGAACGTGCTCTGCATGAGTGGGGTTTTATGTGCTAAGAACTAAAGCTTTAGTTATTGATTTCACAAATCACAGCACAGACCTCATGAATCCTATAAGTGGTGTCTGGAATGCCATAATTTTTAAGTGTCAAATAAGCCCTGATTGTGGCTTTTGAGTGTTGGGTTGTGGTTTTTTGGTTTGTTTTTTCTTTT